ATGAGAGATTCGGTAAACAAAAAAGAAGTTCGGTTCTCTTTATGACCGAGCTCATCAATCTATTTAGCTAAGCAAGGAAAGACCTCGGCTTCTACCAAGTCGAGTTTATTAAAGTGTTTGGGAAGGCAATTGAAGAGAATGGTTTGTGCCAAACCAAGTCCCTAAAACTGTTCGGCAAATATCAAATGTGCTCAGCGTTCGATATGTCCGAGTTGTTCAAAATGATAGATGGAAAGATAAAGATTCGCCTATAACTTAGGCAATTGAATAAATGAATCAACGAAATTGTAAATATCAGGAGGATTTGTTGGAAAAATATCAGCAACTTCCCAAACTAAATCACTGAACTAAAGGAAGGTGTGCCACCTTAAATCAAAAATCATGGAAACCCTAAAGGGATGACCATCTATAAAAAACAGAAGAATCCAAGTTGAAAGGTACGCTAAACTTTCCCTGTCTTCTTTCATTAGTTTTAGTAACATTACTGACTTAAGCATCGAAGTGCCTTCGATAGAAGCACTTCGATCTTAGGTAGTTTGTTCATGTTGTAGGAAGGAGAGTGGGGGATCCAAGTTCAGAATTCATCTAATATCGAGAATAATCATTTCAATATTCTGGAAAGAGGTATGATCAATTTTTTGCCTTTTACAATATGTATAATACTGGTTAAATTCTAGAAATGCTGATGTTATATATATATATATATATATATATATGTATTATATGCTTCATGCATGATACAGTGATGTACATACTTTCGGTGCTAAGCCTGGAAGTATGTCATCAGTGCTTCATCAACCTATCGGTAAAACAACCACGGCATTCCTATCGGTATGACTTGTCCTCCACCGAAACACTGAGGATATTAACTGATGCATGGTACAAAACTTAAATGATCCTCATGAATGGCTTGTCCTTTTGGGTTATTAGGATTTAACTTATATATATAACTATCAGATGAATAACCTAAGTGATTCTCATGAATGGCTTGTCCTTTTGGATTACTCAGATCGTTTAACTGGTATAAATGATAATATTATCAGTCTAACAACCACGACATTTCTATCGGTATAGTTTATCCTCCACCGGAACGCTGAAGATGTTTAACTAGTATATATATATCACAGATAGAGTCAAATGAATAATTCAAATATTCCTCATGAATGGCTTGACCTTCTAATTTGCTTGGATTAGTTAATTGACATATCTATAACCAGCTAACCTAAGAAGTTGTTGTGTTATAAATAATACCACCAGTTGACCTAAGAAGTGGCTATGTTATGGTTTATTATGTACTCACCTACTATTATGAAGACAAATGAATAATTCAAGTATTCCTCATGAATGGCTTGTCCTTCTGGTTTGCTTGGATTAATCAATTGTCATGGATACCACCAGCTAACTTTAGAAGTTGTTGTGTGATGATTTATATACATCAGACCTACTAGTTGGCTTGCTAGTAACATGGAAGTTAATTGCTGTAAGGTATCATTTCCAGTATTTAACCAATATAACGTATATGGGATCCTTGAACTAAGGGATACTTTTTATTATTGTCTTACTCTATCTGCACATAAATATTTACTTAGACTAGTTATCAATCTAAGCTCACATCTCAAGCTATCACATCCTGTCCTATTGAAATTAGCAACTTAACTATTTTATTTCGTTTCCAAATTATTAAAACTCTCCGTGTGATCGATACTTGGACTTAAAATCGCAAAAACTATAATTCGACCACTTATACTTGGGTGCATATTATTAATCCGATCACTAAAAAGTGCAAATCATGGTGCAAGTCCAAAAAAGTGTATCGGTTTGTGGAGCCAGCGGTGAGACACCAAAAATCTGCTACCCAACAAATACACATGGTTTTATTTTATAAAATAAGCATTCAAAGTGTAACATCCAACAATGACTTGGTTTTATAACAACATGACTTTATTTCAAAATGATCATTGGATGTAATTCATCAATGAAGGATTTTTCATACATTGGCATTGCATTGTGTGGAGGGAGCCGAGAGGGCTTGGAGTAAAGGGCATGAGTGAATCTCATCTCATTTTATGGCATGACATGATAGAAGTCCAAAATTGAATTTGCACATTCTTGTTTGGAATGATTGTTTCCGTGTTGAATGTTATGTGTGCACATTTCATATGCATCTAGGTTTGGGGAGTAGCCTCTATAGGAAATACTCTACTGGGCGTGGCTCACCCTATACGGGAAAATATTTCAGGTGTGGTATACGTTCCAGAGGATGGCTCACATTTGGGACCCTAGTGACGAGGAAAGGCTGACTTGTGGCCTTGAATTCATTTTTTGTAAAACCATTGTATAAATTTGGTGAAAAGTAAATTTTGGGCTTGTAATCATATAGAATTAATTGTAATAGACCTTGTATATATTAGGTTTTATGTGAAAAACCTTATTAAGCATGTTTTGGATGGTGTTGGAATGGTTTTGAATGGATTGGGAAATGAAAAATAGATGAAACGGACATTTTTGGGCAAAACCTACCGGTAGATCTTGTACGGATAGGTGTTGTCATAGGCAAAACCTGCTGGTAGGTTACCGGTAGAACCTTTTCAGTAGGTCAAACCTACCAGTAGAACTTTTCCAGAGGATAAAACTTATCGGTAGGTCCATAAAAACCTACTGGTAGATTTTTCAAAAATCTAAAATTTTAAGAATGCTTGTCTAGGCTTTTAGGCTAAGTGTCCTTGCATTCAAATGACATAAATGGATTATAATTGAGGTATATTGGACCTCGGTTCGATCAAAGGATAATATATACACGAGTTACACTTGTGGATGATAATCCCGGTTAAGGGGATGTTATTAACGTGGTGTCGGATTATGCGACAATCACAGGTACTTCTGCGGGTTGACGGGTGGTCAATGGTTGAAAATGGACCCCTGATTTTAGGGGCATCACATCCATGTTGTTGAATATTGATATGCATTAGTGGGTCTCTGATTATTGTGATACTTTGTGATCTAGTTTGCATATTTTTTTAGCTCATTGACACATAAATGATTGAAATTTCTTAGTTTATTGTTACAAATATGAGGTTGATTGTATGTATATTCTTGTATTTGTGGTGTATTGATGATATACTTCACAGGTTGTGAATCACATTTACCCGCAAATTGCATGGATTCTTTCTATTATGGATTTATAATAACTAGTTGATGTCCACGTGCGTTGCACATAGATCATTTTAAGGATGAAATATTGTATACTAAGGATGTGAACTAATTTTTCTTAACCAAATTACCAACATACACAAGTGAAGGTAAGCATGAGTTTTGGCATTCATTTCAATGAAAGGCTATCTCCATTTTGTGAATGTAATCAACTGAAAATAAAAGATTCCTATTGAACAACACAAGAGAGGTTATCAGACAACATATCGTCAAAATCAAGGTTTGTAAACATTGAATGAGATATAGGTCACATAGCACTTTAGTGTTGACATATGAAAAAAAATGATTGATTATAATAACTTTGAATATATGTTGTCTCTCAACTCTCAAGCTCTTATTTCTACTTCTTCCTTTCTCTTTTTTCTCTCTTTAATTGTTTTCCTTTGTGACTGCCACATCAATAGTTTATATAAGGTAAGATCATTAGAAGCTTTAAATGATACTGAAAAATATTTGGTGCATTTATCTATTTCTTCAAGCTAAAAAGAAATAAAGATAAGAAAGGCTGCATAAATGAAAGCAACAAAATCAAATATTAAAAGGCCGCAACTTCGCTTCCAACTTTCAATTAAATAGATAGCATGCTAAACTTATCAAAACATCTACTTGACATGAATGCTAGAGCTAAAAACCCCACTAAATAATCATAGAAACCATTTAGCATAAAACATGATGCATAACTACTCTTTTATGCTTCCATTCTAATTATGTTTCCATGTGATAATCTTGGTTTGCTTCTTCAGATTAGCTAAAAATCAAAAGCACAAGGAGCATATAGGAAAGAAACATGAAGGAGGGGACATAACCATAGCTTTACGCCATTACCCACCACTTGATACTTCATGAAACATCCATTGATTTGAGCCAGAATGTTTGTGTAGTGTCTTAGTATGGGATTTTTTTGACATGCACCTCCATCACCATAAACACCATCATTACACTCCCAAATTGGGCCAAATGTAGTATGGATGGATAGCCTGTCATGTGTAATAAGTTCTAGAAATTTATTTGAAGGGAACTACATCAATTCATGCTTATCTACCTTTCTTAACGCCAAGATCTGAAGGGGTAAATGAGGTGGCATCGCTAGCTCACTTGAATTCTTGCAATTCTTTGAAGTTCAACCATAGCTTCACCCAGACCTTTGCCTCATAGAGTTTCTTCTTTCCCACATCAATAGCCTCTACAATGAGGTGGTGCAAAGTACTGATAACAACCTATTCTTGTGCCTTCCCCACCTTTTCTTATTGTTCATTCCACAAACTCAATATTATATATTTTTTTAGCTGATCTAATAAATGCAAATTTTTCATTTTATTTGTTCATTCTATATTTTGAGAGTTTGCAATTTGTTGGATGATCTTTTGTATTGTTCAGCCACTACTTTGGTGGTGTAATATTGTAGGTGGAAAAGCATTAGGGGATCATTATGCCCAATGTTCCTCTTGCTCAAAATATTGGCATGTGTCTTAGATTTTTGTGATTATACACCTTCATTCTTGAGGTGCTCAGGAGTATACAAAGATGAAGTTGCTACTAAGTTTTGGGGCATCAAAGAGCTCATCTGTATCAGGCCCCTTACACTCCATACATTTTCCTTTGTTGATATTCATGTCAGAGTCTTGCTTTGAGGTGAATCTTGCAATATGTGTGTTAGTTATGTATTCCAAACACAACCACGGAGTATGACATGAATTCTATGCCACGACTAGCTTCCTAATCCTAATAACAAGTTGAACCAAAAGTGAACTAAATTACTACACAAGAGTCTGTTATTAAAGACTTTAATCATGTTTTGGAGAATCCAACTTATTCCTGAGATGCTGAAAAAGATGGTTATTGATGCAGCAGGAAGTCTTTGGCCCACCATGACCATCGTATACACCAACAAAGATTCCATATGGGACAGAACCAAGCAAGAACAAGAAGCCAAACTCAACCTGCCAGTTTCAGCCAGAGCCTTAGCTGTGGCCAGACCCAACCCCGAGGACACTCCAATGATCACGACACATCCTTTTCTTAAGGTTTTCTTCCCTTTTGGTGTAGCTTGTTAACTGTTGGAGTTGTAACGACCACTTGGGCTCTTACAGGTCCAATTATTTGGCTGAATTCCCTCTACAAGAACTTAATCCCCATGAGTAAGTTACTAATTAAGAGCATCCTTCATACTTTAGAGACTAATGTGTACAACTTAAATATTAAAGTGCAAGCATTCCACAATGCTTGTTAGCTTAAATTCAAAACCTGTAGCACAAGATACCACAAATATGGCCATTTACCTAGATCACTTGCCTTTGGCTTGCCCCATCCCAATAGTTGTAAGTGATTACAAGTGGCTTATCTAAAAATTATTGCAAAAATTGGATTCAAAACACATAATTCTTCCATAAATTTACGTTTGTTAACAGCTTAGTGATTAGCACAAAACATTGCATATTTTATGTATATTTACATCCCTTTTATGTTTTTTTTGTGGTTAAAATAAGTGGAATTACATTGTTCGTGATTTTAATGGAGTTTTGGTATGTTTACAGGAATAGATGTTCAAATGGTGCTTAATAGACCCTATTTATAATGCTTGAGTCGAATGGAGTTGGGAATGAGGTTTGATGAGAGCTCAGGTGGTGAAGGAACCAAAAAATCAATAAAACAAGGGAAAACCTACCGGTAGGTTTTGTTGAAATAGCTCAGATTCGGCACCTCAAGCTCTGCAACTTTGGGGGCCCCACCAAGAGGGATCATGATGCAAGATATATTGTAATATATATATAGAGAGAGAGAGTCCAAGGTAGAAGATGAATAGTGCTAGAGAGAGAAGTTAATTTTTGTACATTTTCTTCTATACATTGTCTTTGAATGTCTTGTAAGAACCTGGTAAGCTTCATTTAATGTCTTTAATGTTATTCATTGCAAGTTCATTTCAAGTTTAATCTTTCATTTTAGTTTTCACCATTAATGTTTCCAAGTTCTTCATTTCCAAGCTTTAAGATGGGTATTAAATGCACTTCCTTATAGTCTACATTTTCTCGCATTAACTTAGCTCCAATCTTCATTTCTTTATAATGTCTTCTCATTACATTGTTGTCTTTCCTTTGATCATGAGTAGCTAAGCTTTAAGTTGGCTAATCCAAGGGAGAACTCCTCTTGGGTATGCTACTTCAACTCATTTTCTTTCCCCCTCTCGGTGTACGATAGTTCGGTTTGACTGAGTTGGGTGTGGATGTGGTTGTGATTCTTTGATATCCCGTAGACTTGTCATGGGTTATGCTTGGATCCTCACTTCCATCTCATCCCTAGCTTCCCACGAAGTAATAGAACATCTACACACCATGGGAGGAAGGTTTCGAGTTGACTTGGCATTCCCATTGGAGTGAACCCTTTGGATTAGCCAACACTTGTTTCCCATTTCATTTTCATCACAACACAATCACAAACCAAACTCAAACATAAAAGATTTTTACACTTTACCCTTTTTATCAAAATCACCTTCAACACAATTCACCTCATTCCTTGAGGAGATGACCTTAGAATACTTTTCCAAGTAAAACACGACACAAAAGTCTCTCTGCCTTTGGGGAGCTTTTTTGTACACACACACACACACACATTTTACACTTCATTCCACCATTATTCCATTGCCCTTTCTTTTGGCATCATTCCGAGGGTGAGTGACACTCTCCTATTCCTATAAGCCATATGCAATTAAGGGATGATGTCCGAAGACTAGGAAATACAACGGAACCCAGCAAGCATTTTTGATGTCGTTACCGAGGAAGACAACGTGTTGAATCAAGAAAGTGATTTCAGGACAACAAAGGTAAGTCCCGTGATGTTCATCATGGACTAAGGTACGTTAATACTTGTAAATACTTTTGTTTGTTTACATTTTTATTTGTAGATAGTTTGTTTTATGTTGGAACAAGACGAACAAAACCGATTAGTTAGATAACCCTTGGGCCCCAATATGAACATTGACCAAGACCCACCTAAGGATGCGGGTGATAATTTCAAGAATGTAGGTGCAAATCCAAACATGCAAAGGGGTGGGGGAGGACAAGAACCTAGAATGCCCAATCCATGAATGCAATTTCTCCCTCTCGTGAATGAAGGGAACAACATCCACATTAAGCCTCTAGCGAGGTCAATGAGAGACTTCTTTCAATCCACATGAAGCAGCACACCCTCATGCATCCTCCTTCTGGTCCAAGCTCACATTTTCCTAGTTAAGCGAGAGATGTTGTAACTACTTCCCACTTTCCACGAAATTGAAAAGGAAAACCCCTATTTGCACATAAAGGATTTCGAGGAAATAGTTGTAACCTTCCTCACCAATTATGGTATGGAAGATATAGCTAAGCTAAAATTGTTCCCTTTTTCCCTAAGAGATAAGGCAAAAATGTGGCTTAATTCCTTGAGGCCTCGATCCATAACATCTTCGAACCAAATGCTCTCTGAGTTTTTAAACAAAATTTTCCCGGTGCAAAAAATCACCGCTCTAAAAAAGCAAATTCAAAACTTTTTGGAAAAGCCCAATGAGCAATTCTACCAATGTTGGGATTGGTACAAGAAATTACTCCAATCCATTCCACACCATGGCTTTGAACCATGGCAATTGGTGAGTTTCTTCTATGAGGGAATCACACCAGGCCATCGGCAGCTCATCGATATGATGTGTAATGGAGAGTTTTTGAACAAAAACCCCCAATGAGGCCTTAGATTAGTTTGATACATTGGCACAAAACGCATAATCATGGGACATTATGGATCCCACTGATGTACCAAGGTCTTCTCCTCAAGGGAGCGGGCAAGCTTATGGGGGAGGGATTTATGACTTGAGAGACCAGGAGGATTTCCTTTCAAAAATTGTCAAGTTATCAAGGAAGGTTGAGAGTCTTGAAGTCAATAAGAGACACGTGGTGTCTAATGTTTCAAAGATCAAGGAGGTTTTCTTGACTTGTGAGAGTGTGGAGCATTCCATATCGCAGTGCCCCAATATTCTGGCACTTAAGGAATTGTATCACGAGCAAGTCCATGCAATCGAAAAAACGAGGCAATCATTCTCCCCTCATTCAAACACGTACAATTCGGGTTGAAGTAATCACCTGAACTTTAGTTGGAGAAATCATAAATCCATCCCTCATGGTTCAAATGCATACACATCTCTCATGTCTCCTAGGCAAAATCAATTTCAATCCCGAGGCCAATCGTCTAGCTCCCAATACCCCCAGTCTAGTTCACAAGGGTATTCATAAATCCCGCCTTTACAGAATTTCTCCCAAGGTCCACCTCCACAAAATTTTAATCAACAAGGACAATCTAACTCATCCACATACCAACCTCCTCACAAAAGGAGTTTGGAGGATGTAATTTATTCTTTTATTCAAAGCCAAACTACCATCAACAACCAAAATGCCTCAACTTTTAACAACATGGCGGCTCAACTCACAAAAATTACCAATCACATAGGGTTATCATAACAAGAAAAGGGAAAATTACTTACTCAACCCCAATAGAACCCTAGGGGCCAACATGTGATTGAGTCTTCCGAGTCCACCAAAGAGAGTTGTGAGCAACTCAAAATGGTCACCACCTTTCATAGTGGCAAACAAATCGATAAGACCGTTGTGCTAAAGGTTTCACCCAAGGCCACATTGCGAAAAGAAAATGAGACCATAAGTGATACTGACAAGGGTGAAGTGAGTGAAATGAAAGAAAGTGAAGTGAGTAAGAAGAAAAAAATTATTGATGGAAGTGTTCTTGTTTCCCCCATGTCTGCTCCTTTTCCCAATCGCTTGAAGCCATCTGTCAAGGTGTCTAATTATTCTGATATCATTAAAATATTTAAGCAGGTGAAAATACATATTCCACTCCTTGATGCAATAAAGCAAATTCCATCTTGTGCAAAGATCTTAAAGTACTTATGCATGGTAAAAAGGAGGCTCAATGTTCACAAGAAACCATTCCTCACGGAACAAGTGAGTTCAATTTTGAGGACAAACACTCCTCCAAAGTTTAAAGACCCCGGCTACCCCACCATTGCCATAACAATAGGGAATTGATGGGTGGAGCAAGCACTCCTTGATTTGGGGGCTAGTGTGAACCTCCTTCTATACTCGGTGTACTAACAACTCCAGCACAAAGAATTGAAGCCTACTACAATCACGCTTCAACTGGTGGACCCTAGTGTCCAAACACCAAAGGGGAGTAGTTGAGGATGTTTTAGTGCAAGTCGACAAATTTTACTTTTTCGTTGATTTTATTGTGCTTAACACCCACCCGATTGCAAATCTTTGCTCCCAAATCCCTGTGATACTTGGTAGACCTTTTCTTGCCACATCTAATGCTGTAATTAATTACAGGAACAGTCTTATGAAGCTAGCATTTGGGAACATGACTATGGATCTCAATGTCTTCAACTTGTACATGCAACTGGGGGATGAAGAGGAGGCACATGAGATTAACCGGATTGACACCTTGGTAGAGGAGCACTTGGAGCTAATGAGCACCTTCAAGTTGGAAGAGGAGGGATTTGTTGTTATGAAAGTGGTTGATGAGCAAGAAGAGTTGGAGAGTTTGAAAGGGGTGGAGAGATGGACTCCCACATTTGAGAAGCTTCCAATGCAAGAAAAGAAAGATCTTTCCATCGGATGTACAAAAACTTATGTTGGAGTTGAAGCCATTACCATCCCATCTTAAGTATGCATATCTTGGGGAGGATAAAACCTTTTCAGTGGTGATTAGCTCAACCTTGGACCCAAAGCAAGAAGAAGATCTCTTGGAAATGATAAAGAGGTAGAAGGGGACGATTGGTTGGACAATTACCAACATCAAAGGAATAAGCCCCATCATTTGCACACACTACTTATATCTTGAAGAAAACTCCAAGCCTTCTCGACAATCACAAACAAGGTTGAACCCAATCATAAAGGATGTGGTGAGAGACGAGGTCTTAAAGCTACTTGACGTGGGCATCATCTTTCCAATTGCCAATAGTAAGTGGGTTAGCCCCACGCAAGTAGTCCCC